CCTCTTGGGCCTATTGGGCCGTCTTGGGCCATCTTAGGCCCATCTTCGGTCGTCTTGGTGGGCTCCTGGCCCGTCTGACGCCGTCGGAAGCCGTTTGGGGGGCATCTCTGGGCCGACTTGGGGCCCTCTTGGAATGTTCCGGGGCCGTCTTGGAGGCTTCCTTGGGCGTCTTAGAGCCCTCTTGGGGCCGCCTTGGGGGCCTCTTGAGCAGTCCTGAGGCCATCTTGGAGGCCTCTTAGGCGCTCCGGGAGCGATCTTGGGGGCCTCTTGGGCCGTCTTGGGCAGTCGGAAGGCCGAAAAAGGAGCAAATATGAAAACCCTTCAAAAACCTAAGGAAGATCAGCGATTTTAGCCTCATCGGGCCCTCCTGGAAGACTCTCGGAGGCCTCGTGGGCCGTCGTGGAAGCCTCTCGATGGCCTCTGGGGCCGACCTTGGGCCATCTTGGACCCTCTTGGGCCGTCTTGGAGGCCATCTTGGACCATCTTGGGCGAACTTGGAAGCCATGTTGGGCCATCTGGACCCTCTTGGAGGCCATCTTAAGCCGTCTTGGAGGATTGTTTCCGGACGTTGAGGTCGTTTGCGCGCCTTCCGTGTGGCCGGCGCGCTGGGCCGAAGCCCCGAAGGTAGGTGTGCCCAGTTAGCGCCGCTGCGCGTGCTGTCTATTTCGCACCATGTGGTGCCGTCACCGTACACGTGCAAGCTGTTCTTCGCATACGGTAAGGTCACTTGTTTAGGGTCTCCCTACTGTGTGTAGTTTTTCCTCCCGCGTCGTCGCCGCGCGACTGCTGGATGTATTATGTGGCGCAGGTTTTTCACATTGTTCCCGATGAGCCCAGCTTGGTTACAGTTGCTTTGAGGCACAGCCTTGTCTGATCGACAAAGCACCATTACTTTGGCAATGCGGTGGCGAAATAGGTCATCACCAGTGCAGGGCGGAGCTCGCTCGATCTTACCCGCTGCGCCTCTAGAAACCCATCATCTCCCACCATCTCCATGCTCCCTCTTCCTACCTCCGGGAGGCCGCCGCCGCGGAGAGACGCCCGTCGTGATGCCACGGCCCCCT